CTCATTGAAAGTTGAAAGGATTATTACTTTTTTGGTATGCAAAGGCCCATTGCCCTTGTATGAGGATACTGTGCAGTAAGAAGCTATTGAACAATGGAGGTGAACTGCCTCTGCGCCCTTGTCCAGCCTCCCAGTGCCTCTGGCCACCTTGTTCCTGTACCTCCCAGTCCTGGGTCTGGGTCCTGGGTTCTGTGTACCGGGAAGACATTGGTACTCTCTGATCACAGAATTCTCCAGAACCTCTAACTTTTGCAGCTACATCTGAGGAATTTCTCTGCCTGAGGTTTCTAAGTGGTAACAGCAAGACTTAATAGAAAGACAGAAAAAGAGTGGATGAGAGTAAGAACCCACACTCTGGTAACGCTTCACAGTTTTCAAAGCATTCTGACGGGTGATCTTTGTGATAGTCGTTTAAGATAGACAGGACTGACAAGATCATTCTTTTACAGATTTTATAACACGTGGTCTTAAAGGTGAAGTGACTCACTCAGTTAAGACCAACACGACGACAGGAAGAGCCTAGAAAAAGCTAAGGCGTACTACAAGCTACAAGGTCCTTCCTATAAAGAAGGTGAAGAGAAACCACAATAGCAGAGAGTAAGAGCAGCCTGCATGAAACAGATCACTTTAGACCCAGCCCGGGACATAAGAGTTTGGGAATTCCTGTGCTGATGAGCTCAGGGAATTAATATAGTGCTTGTATTTCCTCCCAGAGGTAACTATGAGATACACTGAGGGTATGTGTGATGTCTGTGCCTGGCATCTGCTTTAGCCAAGGACACCTTGAAGGTACAGACTGTGGTGTGTAAAGAGGAGGGCCAGCTTGGGTCACACAGAGGGTAGAGGGAGATTCAGAGACAGGAAGCAAGGAGACCCTTTCCCTCAGGGAACTCTCAGTCCCCAGAGGTCTAAATAAAGACAGAACACAGCCATATGCGGAAGCCCTAGGATTACAGAACAGTATATACAGAAAAACTGAAGTGCACTGAGAGCAGAAGTGACAAAAGATCAACCAGGGAAAGGAACATAAGAGACAAAACCAAACAAACCCTCAAAAACATGAACAGGGGGAAAAGTTGCTCTGGAGTTAGTCTAGCCCCTTTGTCTGCAGCACTGAAATCAGAGAACCCCTGTGCTAACAGCAAGCTCTTTCTACCAGAAGGCAGCCAAAGGCAGGGTTGTGCCCCTAGATAATCACGTTCTTCCAACTAGCACTTGGAGGTTCACGCGATGTCACACACATGCATTATCTCTTGAGAAAAGAGACCTTGGAAAGCATTAACCCCAGAAGAGGCCTCACAGCAGCGCTCACAAACAGCACACTTGGCTACACCCTCCCTCCACCATCTTCAGTTTCCTGCTGCAAGGAAAGAGCAGGCTATTCTCTCCAGGTTACGGCAAATGATGATACACCCAAAGAAATCTGATTACAAAAAGGAGCGCCTCCATCAGCAAACGGATAGGTAAACAAGTGTGATACACTCATAAGATGGAATTAGCATTCACGGAAAATTCTGACACATACTACAACATGCATGAACCTCGAAAACATTATGCTAAGTGAAACAAGCCAGTGGCAAAAGGACAAATATGTATAATGCCTTTTATACGAAGTACCTAGAATAGGCAAATTCATAGAGACAGGAAGAAGAGTGGGAGTTACCAGGGGCTGGAGGGAGGGAGAAATGGAGGGTGATGGTTTCGTGGCTACAGTTTCTGTTTGGGATGTTCAAAAAGTTCTGGAAATGGATGATGGTGACGCCAGCATGACAGTGTGAATGTACTTAATGCCTCTGAACTATATACTTACAAATAGTTAAAATGGTAAATTTAATGTTCTGTATATTTTATCATAATAAAAAATTTAAAATGAAGGAAGGAGAGTCAATAGAAGAGCAGCACTGGTACAGAAAGGGGAGAAGGGAGGAAAAGGGAAGAGCAGAACTAAGGTCAGGACTCCTGCTGTCACCAGGAGCTTGGGCCTCTCAGTCGTGGTGACAGAGGTAGAGGCCCAGAAGAGTAGAGGTCAGTTACCACAGACAGTGGCCTCCGACATGCCCAGGGTTGGGGGCCCACAGAACATCAGGGAACTCAACAGGTGACCTGATGGGACTGAATGACAAAACAAAGGGAGGGGAAACAGACTTGTCTTTCTAAACACCAAGCAGTGTATGTTGGCAGGGTATTGAGGGTGGTAGACAAGTCATCTTTTTAAAGAGCGTGGGGAGGGGCAGCGCCTGTGGCTCAGTGAGTAGGGTGCCAGCCCCATATACCGAGGGTGGCGGGCTCAAATCCAACCCCGGCCAAACTGCAACAACATAGCCAGGCATTGTGGTGGGTGCCTATCGTCCCAGCTACTCAGGAGGCTGAGGCAAGAGAATCGCCTAAGCCCAAGAACTGGAGGTTGTTGTGAGCTGTGACGACAAAGTGAGACACTGTCTCA